ACATCTTGCTATCTTATTAATCGTATGCCATCTTCAGCTATCCAGAATCAAGTTCCATTCTGTCTTGTTTCCCCACTTACCTTTGTTCTCTCTTCTACCCCGTGTCTTTGGAAGTATGTGTTTTGTTCATAACCTTACTCCAGGAAAAGATAAGTTAGCTCTTCGTGCTCTTAAGTGTGTATTTCTGGGTTACTCGAGAAAGCAAAAGGGGTATCGATGCTATTCTCCTGACCTCTGGTACCTTATGTCTGCTGATGTTACCTTCTTTGAAACCCAATCATACTTCAGAGTTCTAGATAATCACATAGATATTTCTGAGGTGCTACGAGTTCATCTTTTGGAGATTCAGTCACTATCTCCCATTCATCTTCCTCTACAACTCCAGCTCTACCACCTACTGCTCCAGTTGCCACTCCACCACCTAGTCTAGTTCAACCACCTAGTCCAGTTCAACCTTCTGCAGCTCCACCACTCTTGACTTATCACCGTCGTCCACGTCCAGCATCAGGCCCAGGTGATTCACGTCTTGCATCAGATTCTGCACCTACTGCGGACTTGTCTCCTCTTAGTCAACCAATTGCATTCCGCAAAGGTGTACAATCCACCAATAATCCTAATCCCCATTATGTCGGTTTAAGTTATCATCGTCTGTCATCACCTCATTATGCTTTTATATCATCTTTGCCCACTGTTTCTATCCCAAAGTCTACAGGTGAGGCACTATCTCATCCAGGATGGCGATAGGCTATGATTGAGGAGATGTCTGCTTTACATGCGAGTGGCACTTGAGAGCTTGTTCCTCTTCCTTCGGGTAAGTCTACTGTTGGTTGCCGTTGGGTTTATGTAGACAAAGTCGGCCCGAATGGCCAGGTTGATCGTCTTAAGGCTCGTCTTGTTGCCAAAGGATACACTCAAATTTTTGGGCTTGATTATAGTGACACTTTCTCTGCCGTGGCTAAAGTAGCATTTGTTCGTCTTCTCTTGTCCATGGTTGCAGTACGTCATTGGCCTCTTTATCAGTTAGACATTAAGAATGCTTTCCTCTACGGTGATCTTGAGGAAGAAGTTTATATGGAGCAACCACCTAGTTTTGTTGCTCAGGGGGAGTCTAGTGGTCTTGTATGCCGATTGCGAAGGTCACTATATGGTTTGAAACAATCCCCTCGAGCTTGGTTTGGTAAGTTCAACATAGTTATTCAGGAGTTCGGCATGACTCGTAGTGAAGTTGATCACTCTGTGTTTTATCGACATTCTGCTCCTAATCTGTGTATTTATCTGGTGGTTTATGTTGATAATATTGTTATTACTGGCAATGATCAGGATGGTATTACTAATCTGAAGCAATATCTCTTTCAGCACTTTCAAACTAAGGATCTGGGCAGATTGAAGTATTTTCTAGGTATTGAAGTCGCTCAGTCTAGCTCAGGTATTGTTATTTATGCCTTAGTCATTCTTGAGGAGACTGGAATGATGGGTTGTAGACCTGTTGACACTCCTATGAATCCGAATGCTAAGCTTCTGCCTGGACAGGGGGAGCCTCTTAGAGATCCTACTAGAAATAGGAGGTTGGTTGACAAATTGAATTACCTCACACTGACTAGACCTGACATTTCTTTTACTGTAAGTATTTTAAGTCAGTTTATGGATTCTCCTTGTGATAGTCATTGGGATGCAGTTGTTCGCATTCTTCGATATATAAAGTCAGCTCTAGGCAAAGGGTTACTATTCGAGGATCGAGGCCACGAGCAGATTGTTGGGTACACAGATAGTGATTGGGCAGGATCACCTTCTGATAGACGTTCTACATCTGGATATTGTGTTCTAGTAGGAGGTAATTTGATCTCTTGGAAGAGCGAAAAACAGAATGTAATTGCTCGATCTAGCGCCGAAGCCGAATATCGGGCCATGGCTATGGCAACGTGTGAGCTAGTTTGGATCAAGAAGTTGCTCAAGGAGTTAAAGTTCGGAGAAATCAGCAAGATGGAACTGGTGTGTGATAATCAAGCTGCTCTTCATATTGCGTCAAATCCAGTGTTCCATGAGAGGACTAAACACATTGAGATCAACTGTCACTTTGTTAGAGAAAGATACTCTCAGGAGATATTATTACAAAGTTTGTAAAGTCGAATGATCAACTAGCAGATATTTTCACTAAGTCTCTTACTGGTTCTCGTATTAGTTACATCTGTAACAAGCTAGGTACATATGATTTATATGTACCGGCTTTAGGGGGAGTGTTAAGTAGTTAGTCATGTTTAGTGTCCCACATCGGGAAGTAGATACCTATTATTATGTAATTACTGTATATAAACAGGGTTGTACAACACTTTAATCAATATATAATATTTTTCTCCCATGCATTCTCACAGGAAACATAGCCTAGCCATCTTTCCGCGTAGTGTTGAGAGTCGTTCAGATTCAATTTTTTCTTTAGTTCATTCTAATATATGGGGGCTTAGTAGAGTTAGTTCATTGATGATTATGCAAGATGTACTTGTATTTTCCTAATGAAAGATCGTTCCGAGTTGTTTTCTATCTTCAAGATTTTTTTTGCTAAAATTAAAAACAAATTAGGTGTTTCTATTCACACTTTTCGTGGTGATAATACTTTAGAATACTTGTCCTCTCAGTTTCAGTAGTTTATGACCTCTCAAACAATTATCCATCAAATATCTTGTCTGTATACCCCTCGGCAGAATCGGGTAGCATTGAAAGAATAGGCATCTCATTAAAACCGCTTGCACACTTCTAGTTCAGTCCCATGTTCTGCTGTGTTTTTGGGGCGATGCAGTTCTTATAGCTTACTTGATTAATCGGATGCCTTTATCTGTTATCCAAAATCAGATTCCACATTCAGTATTATTCTTTAAATCACCCTTATACTCTATTTCTTCTCGTGTTTTTGGGAGTACATGTTTTATTCACAACTTAGCTCCCGGAAAAGATAACTTAGCTCCTCGTGCTCTTACGTGTTTGCTCCTTCGTTATTATTGGGTTCAAAAGGGTATCGCTGCTACTCACTTGACCTTCGTAGCTATCTTATGTCAGCTGATGTCACATTTTCTGAGTTTCAATCTTACTTTACTTCTTCTGATCATCTTAATATATCTGAGGTCTTACCTGTACCTACTTGTGAGGAATCCACATCCATAGCACCACCACAACCACGACTACCTATACAGATTTTTGAGGAGTCTATAGTTGCTCCTCCTACATCCCCAGCCACAAGACCACCACTCTTGATTTATCATCGTCGTCCACGTCCAGCATCAAGCCCAGATGATTCACGTCCTGCATCAGATTCTGCACCTACTACGGATTCGTCTCCTCCTATCCACCAATTGCACTTCGAAAAGGTGTACGATCCACACTTAATCCTAATCCCATTATGTCGGTTTAAGTTATCATCGTTTGTCATCGCCTCATTATGCATTTGTATCATCTTTGTCCACTTCTTCCATCCCTAAGTCTACAGGTGAGGCACTATCTCATCCAGGATGGCGACATGCTATGGTTGAAGAGACGTCTCTTTTACATGCGAATGGCACTTGGGAGCTTATTCCTCTTCCTTCGAGTATGTCCTGAATGGTCAGGTTGGGCAGCTTAAGGCTCGTTTTATTGCAAAAGGATACACACAGGTATTGAGGCTTCATTATAGCGACACTTACTCTCCCGTGGCTAAAGTAGCATTTGTTCGCCTCTTTTGGTCCATGACTGATGTTCGTCATTGGTCTCTTTATCAGTTAGACATTAAGAATGTTTTTCTCCACGGTGATCTTAAGGAATAAGTTTATATGGAGCAACCACCTAGTTTTGTTGCTCAAAGGGAGTCCAGTGGTCTTGTATGCCGATTGCGCAGGTCACTCTATGGTTTGAAACATTCTCCCCGAGCTTGGTTTGGTAAGTTCAGCATGACTCATAGTGAAGTTGATCACTCTGTGTCTTATCGACACTCTACTTCCAATCTCTATATTTATCTTGTGGTTTATGTTGATGATATTGTTATTATCGGCAATGATCAAATGGTATTACTAAGTTGACGCAACATCTCTTTCAGCACTTTCAGACTAAGGATCTGGGCAGATTAAAGTATTTTCTGGATAGTGAGGTCGCTTAGTCTAGCTCAGGTATTATGATCTCTCAACGAAAGTATGCCTTAGACATTCTTGAGGAGACATGAATGAATGGCTGTAGACCTGTGGACACTCCTATGGATCCGAATCATCTGCCAGGAAGCCTTTTAGTGATCTTACGATATATAGGAGGTTGGTTGGCAAATTGAATTACCTCACAGTGGCTAGACCTGAGATTTCTTTTCCTATGAGTGTTGTAAGTCAGTTTATGGATTCTCCCTGTAATAGTCATTGGGATGCAGTTGTTCGCATTCTTTGATATATAAAATCAGCTCCAGGGAAAGTATTACTATTCGAGGATCGAGGCCATGAGCAGATTGTTGAATAAACAAATGTTGATTAGACAGGATCACCTTCTGATCGGGCAATGGCTATGGCAACGTGTGAGTTAGTTTGGATCAAGCAGTTGCTCAAGGAGTTGAAGTTCGGAAAAATGAGCCAGATGGAACTGGCGTGTGATAATCAAGCCGCTCTTCATATTGCATCAAATCTGGTGTTCCATGAGAGGACTAAGCACATTGAGATCGACTGTCACTTTGTCAGAGAAAAGATACTCTCAAGAGATATTATTACAAAGTTTGTGAAGTCGAATGATCAGCTTGGAGATATTTTTACCAAGTCTCATACAGGTTCTCCTATTAGTTGTTGTTGTAACAAGCTCGGTACATATGATTTATATGCACCGGCTTGAGGGGGAGTGTTAAATAGCTAGTAATGTATAGTGTCCCACATCGGGAAGTAGATACCTATTATTATGTAATCACTGTATATAAAGAGGGCATTGTACAATACTTTAGACATAATTAATAAAACTTTTCCGTGTTATACTTCTCACTACAGAAATGAAGATGAGAAAATAAACTTTACCGCAAACAATTTTTCATACTCCTCTAGCAATGTGATAACAATAGCTTGAGCATGGTTGGCTGCAGCAGCTGCCTGTATAAGTTGAACAGAGCCGTCACTGCCCATTGCAAAATCACTTTCCATCTCACATTCTCCAGCTAGAAGTGGGCGAAGAAGTAAAGGTGCCATGCAAGCTGCCACTGCTGGTGTGCTCATTCTATTCTTAGTTTTGTGAGAAACCACAGTCTGCATCATCATAAGAATCCTGATGCACACATGGAAAAACATCATGTAAGACTTACAAAGTATACAATAATCCAGGAGAAGCTGAAAGTCCAAAACTATTCTTTTCTTTTTACAAGTTAAAATATCCAAAACTTCAGTTCACCAGTTAGCAAGCTTGATAATAGAGGAACAATACTAGCTTGAGTTTTGCTAACATGTCAAACTTAACCTGCATTTCGCCTATAAAGACAAAATCGTTCATTGTCTACAGTCACTTATGATTCAGATTGAACTGAAATAGGATTGTTGAATGAGGAGAGAGAAAAACTGCTTTCTTGACGAATAAACTCAGTTCAAGTGTAGTAGTTGTTAGACTACTCTAATAAGTATGTTACATTATTTTCAAACTATTTGCTTCAAAGCAATATCCTAATTAAAATACAATGTTCTAGAATATCCTACCCGGACATATTCTTGACGCACCCCTGAGCATACGAGTCTTTGACATTAGCACCAAGCCCTAACCTCTGCTTCTGAGAGGACCGTGCTAATTGGCATTTAATTAATTGTTCCTGTCTATTCAATTTGACTGACCCTATGGCCATAGATCGAGGGTTAGATTGTGATGCATGCCAATTGTGAACAAAATCAAGTAATTTAGGTTCTGAGCTTGACAAGTAAAATGTTTGATTTTCAGACCTAGTGACAATGAATTGGGATATTCCAACAGGTCACCAATCCTTAAGTTCTACAAGAAAAAGAAAGTGGCAGTTTTCGGCTACTGTTTGGTGTTGTGCCGCATCAGCTAATCCTTTATTAGGGGTCTTGGGAAGAACAAAGTATATCAAGGTAGTCAATGAAAAACAGTAGCGACGAGGTGATGAGGAAGCTATAAAATGGGATGATGATTTTAAGTGGAGCAAATACCCTTTCTAATGACTTACTGTAAAATTTTGATTGTTGATAAGGCAAAGAGAACTTCTAGCACTTTTTATTTTTCTTGTTTTGTATACTGATGGCCTGATATTAATTTAAATGGAGAAACATGGTCATTGAGGATTCATTATAACCGATCTCAACTAGTTAGGGATTGAGACAGTATTTGTTATTGTTGTTGTTGCTCAAGAGGCAAAGAGGCTGACATGACAAGCTGACTAAGCAGATAGCGTTGACGTAATAGCTAATGTGGACGGCAAAGAGAACTTCTAGCACTTTTTATTTTTCTTGTTTTGTATACTGATGGCCTGATATTAATTTAAATGGAGAAACATGGTCATTGAGGATTCATTCCAACCGACCTCAACTAGTTTGGGATTGAGACAGTATCTGTTATTGTTGTTGTTGCTCAAGACGCCAAGAGGCTGACATGACAAGCTGACTAAGCAGATAGTGTTGACGTAATAGCTAATGTGGATGATGACATGTGGACAAATAAGAAACTGAGAAGTGTACCTGGTGCTAACATATAGGATATATGGCATGTTAGCTGAGGTAGGTAAACACATTGAGAAGAAACAGATAGTGTTGCATCAAATCTAGTGTTCCATGAGAGAACTAAACACATTGAGATTGACTGTCACTTTGTCACAGAAAAGATACTCTCGAGAGATAATGCTACATAGTTTGTGAAGTCGAATGATCAGCTTGCAGATATTTTCACCAAGTCCCTTACTGGTCCTCGTATTAGTTACATATGTAACAAGCTCGGTACATATAATTTATATATACCAGCTTGAGGGGGAATGTTAGATAGTTATGTGAATGTATATAATCAGTCCTAGTCCTGTATTATGTAATAGGAGTAGGTTATGTATTATGTATACTTATAAATAGGGTTCATTGTAATATAGTTAAAACATCAATAATATATTTTTCTCCCGTGCTTTCTCACAGTCCCATAAGAGTTGTTCAATCAATTGATTCAAAAGAATCAAAGCAAAAAAAGATTGCAAATCTAACAGCATTGAGAAGAGCATAGATATCTAAACATGTATCTAGCAATTCTATAAATATCTACATGCATAAAGCTCGACTGGAAACTCAAAGTTACGTACTTGAAAATGAAATAGTCAGAAGGAGGAGCAGTTATGGTGACATCACCAAAAATTATAATAGAATGAGGTATATGGGAACCAACAAACCGTGAAGCATCAGATGAAAATATCAGATAAAATCGATAAGATGTAATAAGAACCTCTGCAGCAAGCGACGATTTGGCTCTGGAAACGTCTCACATATGGCTGACCGCATGCTATTGACTCGATTGACACGCTCAGTTCCTGAAAATGATCATAAACTCTGCCAGTGTGAGCTTGCTCACGCCAGAATAAAAGAGGAGGGTTGCGATAGGCTAAATACCAGCATAAAACTAGCCAATACATGATGAATCCTCAAAATATCTTGAAATAATTTAATCAACAGAGAAAGCATATTAGCCTAGAACTGATATATTCAATGAAGAGAGTATTATTATGCAGAACCTTTACAATAAGCCTAGACAGTAGTCAAGTAGTGATATATACAAGTTTCAAATTTATGACACTTTTGTTTTTCTGGAACGCCTCAAAATGTTTGACACCATCCTATTACTATACAACTTTTACCAAATTTCAAGAATTCAAGTAAACAATTTCAAAATTTTATGTGATGTCTTCTGTATCAAACAAACATTACGATTTAATATTTTGTTCCACTATCACTAATACAATGTATAATTCATATTAGCATCTTAAAGCCTAGTTAAACAATGTCATATAAAATGTGATGGAGGGAGTATGAAAAACATTTCTTCTTCTTTCTTCTATATGATCTCGGTTACATCAAGAAGGAAATAAAGGGTCCAAAGGAACCCAGCATTGAGATAAAAAAGAAAAACTTACGAAATGCTTCCAGGAGGGCATTGCAGCAAGATGCAGGAACTGGAGATGACGGTAACTCCCGCAGAATGTACTGAAGAAATTTAGCAGAGAAGTTAGCAATTGTAGAAGGAAATGGCTACAAATATCTAACCTAAGAGTTTCCCTATTTACTTAGGTTTAGAAGGATATACCTTGACACAATCAGCAATAACATGTGCATCCTCATCAGGAGAAAACTCACTATTCCCTGAGTTAAAAAAATGATTTAAGTAAATTTCATTTCAGTTGTATATGCAACATGGGCTAGAATGTTTTGTTAAATTGAGAAAATAATTCCTAAAATTTGATGCATCACATCAATGGTCCAGGGGAACATGTGAGATATTAATCTTTTGTTTTTGATAAGGTAAAAGATTTTATTAAACTGGTACCAAGATGGTACAGAAAAAACATGAGACATTAATATTTTTTCACTTAAATTCAGAAAATTCAGACAACAATACTCAAATGAAAAGAAAGAAAAAAAGAAAATTATGGGTAAAAGAACTCTTTGTGCCTTAATGTCCAGCAGAAAGTGTACACCAGGGATTAACAAGTATATATTCGGGTTATAAGCTACAAAGATTAGTTTATCAAAAGGAAAAAAAAACAACGGCTATATGACTAGCAATTGTATAGCATCTAACCCAGCTAAGATCATATTCACGGAATAACGTAAAATAAACATATAAAAAGCCACCTTCACTCACTAGCTCACAGAGGTGTATGGAATGTATTGGGCCATGCCCATGTTGTCCAGCCAAAGGCCTAATGGCCTAATCCTATTCTCTTTTAGTTTCCATTCCTATTCAGAATTAGATTTGATTTTTATTCCTATTTGAAGTTCGTTTTGGCTACAAGAAAAAACACCGCTCATCATCGATAAATAGAGCAACCTTGGAGAATTGCTCTATGATCATTAATATAAGTCTTTGAAAGATTTTAGCACATAAGAGTGGTTTTTGAGAGAACTTCCATCTAGAGAGACGAAAAAAGAAAAAGAATTCGTTTTGCTGCAGAGTTTATTCCGACTAGCCAGCTTCAAATTATGTTTTTCGATTCGTTCACTGTTGGATCAGGCTGAAATTTTGACAGAGTGTTCCTAACATCTTGGTTTTTGATTTGAATGGCGGAGATCGGATTTGGAGGCATGTAGCAACCGATTTTGAGCCTTGATAGCTACTCCGTTTTTTTTATTTCTCCTCTTTCTTCAATTGATTTATTGTTGCTATTGTTGCTCCGTATCTGGCACTTGTTGTGTAGCCAATTTGGAGAACTTTTTAACCCTTTTATTGTTATAGTAGAGCCTTTTGGATCTTTGTGGTCACATGGTTTTTACCTTCGATTTGAAGGATTTTCCACGTTAAAATTTGGTGTTCATTATCGCTTTTATTTTCGGGTTTGCTTCTTCCTCGACATAACAATGGTATCAGAGTCTTGGCTATTTATCTGGGGTTTTACGTAATGGAGGCAAAGATGAACAAGATGGTATGTGTAAATGAGGGCAATTATAATATTTGGAGAATCATTTGTTGTTTGTGAAGAAGATGCATCTACCCATTTTTGCAGCTTATAAACCCGAGAGTATATCTGATGAAGATTGTGATTTCGAATACCAGCAAGTATATGGATATATACAAAATGGGTTGAAGACAATGTTCGCAACCATATTGTGAATGAGACACATGCGAGATCATTATGGGAAAAGCTAGAGACTCTTTATGCTTCAAAAACTGGGAACAACAAGTTGTTCCTGCTAAAGCAATTGATGACCTTTAAATACAAGGAGGGCAGTCATATCTTTGATCATATAAATGATTTTTAGAGTGTCCTTGATCAGCTATCTGGAATGGGAGTTAATTTTGAAGATGAGATACAAGGACTTTGGCTTGTTAATACTGTGCAAATTCTTGGGAAACACTTTGTGTTTTTTTGACAAATTCAGCTCCTAGTGGCAAGGTGACCATGGAATATGCCAAGAGTGGTGTGTTGAACGAGGAAGTAAGGAGAAAATTTTAGGATTCATCCTCACAAGATGATGTTATGACCGGGGGAGAGTTAGAACAAGATGTTCGAGGAACAAAGGTAAAAGCAGAAGTAAGTCAAGGTCCAAACATCATAATTATTCGTGCAACCACTGTGGCAAGAAAGGACAAATCAAAAGATTCTGCCAAAAGTTGAAGCAAGACGGTAGAGAAGGAAAGAAAGTTAAAAATAACGAGAACAATGTTACTGCTATTATTCGAGATGACCTTCTTTTTGCTTATGATGAAAACGTCATCAATTTGGTATCCCATGAGACGAGCTAGATAGTAGATTTTGGAGCTACCTCACATGTCACACCAAGAAAAGACTTTTTCTCATCTAATACTCTTATTGACTCTGGAGTGTTAAAGATGGGCAATACTAGTGAGGTTAAGGTGTTTGGTATTGGCATAATTTATTTGAAAACTAATAAGGGTTCAACGGTAGTTCTTCAAAATGTCAAGCATACTCCAGATTTTTCTTTCAATTTAATCTCCGGAGGAAGATTAGAAGATGAATGTACCATAATGCCCTCTTTAATGGTGCCAATGGAAGCTCACAAAAGGCTTATTAGTAGTGGCTCGAGGAGTCAAGTCTTCTCATTTATATGTGACACAAGGCTCTATTCTTAATGACTCCATAAATCTGGTGGAAAGTAAAACTTTATTAGAATTGTGGCACAGAAGACTGCATCATATAAGCGAGAGGGGGATTACGTGTTTAGCTAAGAAAAGTTTGCTTTCTGGAGTGAAACAAGCAAAGCTGAAAAGGTGTGTTCATTGTTTAGTTTGCAAACAGAAAAGGGTTCCTTTCATAGCCATCCTCCTTCAAGAAAGCCTGAATTATTGGAGCTAGTACACTTTAATTTGTGTGGTCCTTTTAAAGTAAAGTCAAAAGTGGTGCACTTTACTTTGTGACCTTCATTGATGATCATCCTCGCAAGCTCTGGTGTATCCTTTGAAATCCAAAGATAAGCACTTGACGTGTTTAAGGAAATTTAGGCCTTAGCTGAGAGACAGAGAAGAAAGAAAAATATATTCGCACTATCAATGGTGGCGAATATTGTGGTCTCTTTGATAACTATTGTAGAGAACAAGAAATTCATCATCAGAAAACTTCGCCCAAGACGCCTCAATTGAATGATTTGGCAGAGAGGATGAATAGAACTCTAGTTGAGAGAGTTAGATACTTGCTTTCAGAGGCTAAACTTCCAAATAAATTTTGGGCGGAAACACCTAACACAGTTGCTTATGTTATCAATTTGTCTCATGTTGTTGCTTTGGATAGTGATGTCCTGGTTTGCCCAGATGTTTCTTATGATCACCTAAGAGTTTTTGGATGTAAAGCTTGTGTGCATGTTCCTAAAGATAAGAGATCGAAGCTGGATGTCAAAACTAAGCAGTGCATCTTTATTGGTTATGGTCAAGATGAGTTTGGATATTGTTTTTATGATCCGATTGATGATAAACTTATTAGAAGTCGTGATGCAATATTCTTTGAAAACTAGACTATTGACGATTTTGACAAAGCTGAGAAGATAGATTCTCAGAATAATGAGAGCTGAGTTGATATTGATCCAGTTTTATTGCTAAGGCACCTATTGCACATGAAGGAACACAAGACAATAATGAAGATAATGATCAAGATCAAAACGATCATCATGGTGTAGATGTTATGGATGCTCCAATTAATGAAGTTGTGGTTGATCAGCAATCAATTTCTGCTCAAATAACTACTTCGAATGCTACTGAAACCTCACTTAGAAAATCTACAAGGGAGAAGCAAAAATCCATGCGCTATCCTCCTGATGAGTATGCACTTTTAATTGATGTTAGAAATAGCTATGTAATTGTCCCACATTGGAATAGGAGTAGTATCCCCTTTGTATAGAGTAGCTATAAATAGCACCTCTTGTATTGCATCACATACAATATCAATATATCGTATTTTCTCCCGTGCCCTCTCACATGGTATCAGAGCTATCGTGAGAGATTTATCGCTGTGCATAAATTCCAGCGATTCCGGGAAGTAAAATCAGTCACCGGAACCCTTTTTTTCCGGCGACTTTCAAAGTTGTTTTGCGTCTGCTTTGTCTCGGTTAGTGTTGTGCACAAAATCCAACACTACCACAAGAGTAGTCACTGTCCGGCGACCAAATCCCAGTGAAAATCTCCGGCGGTACTGTAGCTGTCCAAAGAAAATTTTCCGGCGAAGTTCCAACGTTGCGTGGGCCACCTTCCGGCCATTTTTTGGCGACGACTCTTCAGGACAGATTGTTTCCCTTGCAATTCCGAGCCTACCCATCCAGGTTACACCAAATTCCGAC